AATAAATCAATAAATCAATAAATCAATAAATAAATAAAGTGAATGGAGGTGGTGATTCGTTTCTTTATTATTTATTATAGTCGGCCAGCGAAAACGCTCTTTCGCTAAAGGCCCTATTAGGGTTTAGGGTTTAGGGTTTAGAGTATTCGAGTTATTTAAAGTCAAAGGCACTGAAGCTGCAGGCCATCGCATTGCGGCGCGCCCCTTAATCAGCACGTAGGGTTTAGGGTTTAGGGCTTAGGGTCTAGGGTTTAGGGTTTAGGGTTTGTGGGGGTTTAGCGCACAGAAAGAGCTGCTGCTCATTCATTTCAATCTCCCGAATCCGCGAAAGAGCTGCTTCTGCATTTTTCAGTTTTTTAGAAATGAAAAGAACTTCTTCTGTTGCTGCTTGCCGCAGCGCAGACAGCTCAGCCTGGTGTCTGTACACCCCAAACCCTAAACCCTAAACCCTAAACCCTAAACCCTAAACCCTAAGCGCTTGAACCTGAAGTTTCCGGGTAATTGACTTGTATTTTCAAACCCTAGTGCTGAAATTCTCGTGCTGCTAGGCGGGTAAGGATCATGCCCACATCAAACCCTAAACCCTAAACCCTAAACCCCTAACCCTAAACCCTAGATCTAAGACAAACTTTTTTTGCAAAATAATTAGCTGAGCCTCAAGGCGATGATTTCTCCTGTCGGCTTCCAACGCGCTCTGAAGTAGTGCAGCAGCAAACAAGAAAATCCAAACCCTAAACCCTAAACCCTAAACCCTAAACCCTAAATAATAAACCCTGAACAGTAAAGCATAAAGCCTGAAAATGGAAAAGTCGGGTTTTCTCAATCGTGGCAAATGCCATCGGGGTATTGAGTTGCCGAAGCGCCCCTCTGAGTGTTCGCTGCGAGGGTTTAGGGTTTAGGGTTTAGGGTTTAGGGTTTATAAGAGTGCAAATTCAAAAGAGTAAAAGGCCAAACCTGCAGCTCTGTGAGGGTGTTCTCTTCTGCTTCCATTGCAGACAAAGTCGCCTTGAAATTCGTGCTGAAGAGGAAAAAGAAAAAATAAAAAAGAAAAGAAAATTAATTTTATTTTATGTTTTAAAAAATAAATAATTGAAATTAAAATAAATAAAGGGCAGCGCAGGACCAAGAGGAAACTGCTGCTGTGGAGGCAGCAAGAGAGCAGCAGCAGCGAGAACACCAAAAACAGCAGCAGCAGCAGCAACAGCAGCAACAGTAGCAAGAGTAGCAGCAACGGCAAAGAAGCAGCAAGTACAGTAAAAGGGGCAGCGAGAGCAGCAAGGCAACACAAGCAGAAGCAGCAGCAACAGCAGCAGCAACAATAGCAGCAGCAACAGCAGCAGCAACAATAGCAGCAGCAACAGCAGCTGCAGAAAAGGAGCAGCAGCAACAGCAGAAGCAACAATAGTAGCAGCAGCAACAATAGCAAGAGCAGCAACAGCACCGGCAACAATAGCAGCAGCAGCAGCAACAATAACAACAGCAGAAACATCAAAAAAAGACACACGAAAGAAGAAACAGAAGTTGCAGCAGCAGTATTAACCACTGCAGCAGCAGCAGCAAGGGCAGCAGCAGCAGCACGGAGCTTCTAATGTTTAAATTGCATTTGTTTGCATTATTGCATTTTGTTTCTGTGGGGCTCACGGCCTTTCATTTTCTAGCGTGTGGAGCTGGTGGCTTCTCGTGTGGTTTTTGTTTTTATTTTTTTCTTTTATGATTTTTTCTCTTTCATTTCTTTTTATTATTTCAATTTCTTTATTTGCAAAAAGCTTTTCTATTTCTCTTTCCGCAGAAGAAGGGGAATTCAAAGAAGTGCCATCTTCAGTCTCAAGAAGATCCTCCTGGCGGCGCAGGAGTGGAACTCAGGAAATTGCATTTGTTGAGTCAATTTAATTTAATCAATTTAATTTAATTTAATCAATTTAATTTAATCAAATTAAATTAATTTAATCAATTTAATTTAATCAAATTAAATTAATTAAGTTAAATTAAACTAAGTTGAATTGAATTCGTTTAATTTGAGCCGGGACGAGTTCGTTTTGCTGCTGCAGCAGCAATTCAGCTTTTGAAATTCTTGAATTGCTGCTCAAGCATTTCTTGAATGGGACAAATGAGGGAAAATAAGAAAAAGAAATGCAAAAATAATAATAAAAAGGATTTGTTCTGTTGCATGCAGCAAATAGAAGAATGCTTGAAGCGATTTAATTCAATTTGGGCTTCTTTTTCCGCTTTTACCTCCGTTCCAGACAGCGCAGAACCCCACAGGTTCCCCTCCAACAGGGACCCGCCAAACAGCGGCTTTTCCTCGGGAAAGCTCATCGAATTTGGCATTAAATGAAAAAAATTGAATTAACCGAACAAATTAAAGTATTCATTTGCAAGATCAGCGGGTTTTTCGCGTAAAACAGCCGGCTGAAGGGGAGCCGCTCGAGGGGGAAAGCGCGGGGAAATAAACCCTCATTTATATTTTCACGCGGCTAAAACCTCATTAAAAATGCATAAAATAATAAATTGATCTTTTAATTCAAATTAACTACCTCCATGTTGCAGTGTTTCACACTTCCACCCCCGCAGCCGACAGTCACTCAACAGTGACGTCCCGAGGGGCGGGAGGGAAAGCGCGGTTAAATTTTTGCTCTTTTTCTTTTTTTGAATACATTAATATTTTAATTTGTTAAATTAAATTCCGAAATTCAATCTTATTGCATTTTCACGCGCGAAATCCCTCTCCAGCCACCCCTGTCTTGCGGCCTCCACGCCAGCGGCTGCGCATGCCATGCTGCTGGCCAGTTGATCAGCAGCAGCAAAAAGCACAGCAAATATGATTCGAGTATCATAAAATAATAAATAAATAAATAATAATAAATGCAAATTGATTTTTGCGATAAAGGAAATCATATTCAATTAATATTCAAGATTGGCCAAAAGAGCCCCTGGCCACAACCTGGTGTCTCACTGAGACGCCTCGTTTGCTCTAAGGGTGTGTACAACAGCCGCAGACTTGGCAGCAGTTTATTTGCAGAAGATGAATTTAATTGTTTTTAATTCTCCTTTACAGGGAAAAAAAGTTCATTAAAGCAAAGCCAGCCTAGTTGAGGGCTTAAAGCCCCAGTTTGCCGCGCCTGTACAAGTTAGGACTTCAAATCTATTCAGTTTGCAAATGAAGTTTGAACAATTCGTCCATCATGTTCCCCAGAGTCGTGGGGCACACCAAATGATAGGCATATTGCATGTGGAGACATCTGATTCTGCAGAAGTTCAAAAGGCCGCCCATTCCTCGCAGTCTGAGGCACTGCATGAGCCTGCAGAGCCGGCAGCTGCAGAGAAAACATTTGCTGCACTTGTTCAACTCTTCTGCTTCTTTTTCCTTTTCAGAAAGGCCAGTGGTCTCTTCCGTTTTCCCCGGCTCTTCGGCTTCTTTTGAGTCGCAGCCCTTCCGGTTCATCTTTTCGAAATCCGAAAAGATCAGACCTTCAGGTGTATGTACACTGCAGTCGGCGCAGCGGCGGTTGGCCGCGTAGAAGTGCGAAAGCATGAATTTCGGGACTAAGAGCCAGCGAAGTGCAATAAAACGAATGTTATCATGAATAAGTTTCAATTGAATTTCCTCGTCTTGCGCCAAAAGCCCGTTTTCCATTTCCTTCATCCACCCCGTCAGTTCAACTTCCGAGATCTGGGCACTGAGCCGGTCGTTGCAGAGCCAGAAAGTCGTGGGAAACGGCGTAATTGCCTTTTCAACTGAATTAATTTGTGCTTGATCTGCATTAATTTTGTTATTAATTGCTTCGGAGTCGGCGGTTTCCAGTGGAATCCGCAGTTTCAGCAAGGAATCCTCGACGCGGCGTTTCGCGTTCAAGTCCGGCGCAGCGCTCGCGCTGCTGCGCCGCTTCTGCTGCGGCTCCGCCACCCAAAAGGGAGAAACTGTCAACACTTGAGGAATAAAAGGCATTTCGGAGATGTCAGTGGGCTTTGCTGCATGCGTTTCTGCTGCAGCTTCTTGCCAGTGGGGCAGATCTCGCTGCGTGGGCTGTCTGCTGCGGGCCACGGCCAGCAGCCCGAGGGGAAACCTTTTGATTTGTTTGGCAATAAAAAGAATCATTTCATCACTTGGGAGCTCCAGAAGCTTCTCTGCAGCCCTCTGGACTTCGCCCGCTGCAGCAGCAGCAGCAGCTGCTGCTGCTGCTGCTGCTGCCTGCCCGCTGGGCGGCAGCAGATGAGACCTTTCCGGAGCCCCGGGAATGCCCACAGCTTCCGAAAGGAGGTCGCAGCAGAGCTGCAGCAAAGTGTCATTACAGTTTTCAATTTGCAGAACTTTTTCAATTCTTTTTTGCAACTTTTCCGAACTATCTCTCCCCAAACAGAGCCCCCCAGGGGCCCCCAAGGGGGCCCCCAAGGGGGCCCCGAGGGGGGCCCCCGCGAGGGCACAAAATGCCGCGGGGAATATCGTGTGGGTCCAAAGGCCATTATTCAAAATATGCTCTCGGGTGTCTCCGCAGCTTTCCCTCGACAGCAACAATCGGCAAAGTCCATCCAGCTTTTGGAGAGAAGGAAATAAAACTTCATTTTGTTTCTTTTCCATTTTTGCTGCAGCAAATTGTCTTTTCCTCCCGGAGTTCAAAAAAAGGTGAATTTCATGTTTTCTGCTGCTGCACGCACTGCGCAGCCGCTGGCCCCCACCACCTGCTGCTGCTGCTGTTGCTGCTGCTGCGGCTTCCTGGCTTTCTGGTCCCTTTGATCCTGCAGAATTTGAATTAAAAAAGCATTTAATTTTACTTTCTATTTTTTTGAACGTCAGGGGGAAGCAAAACGCAGGAGAGACCACTGGTTCTGCCGGATTCCAATGCAAGTGGAATGGACATGCAGACTGTCCCCGCGGCCGGAACTTGAAGTCAATACACCGCAAAGCACTCGGAAATAACAAAAAGAAAAGAAAAAGAGAAACAAAAAAGTATTTAATTGACTTAGTTGGGCCCCCAGGCGCTGAGATCATCCCAGCTTCCCCGAGAAGTGCTTCGACGGGGGGCGAGAGAAAGCCGCGATCAATGCACAAAGTTGAATTATTTTCTTGAAACTGCACAAAAAACAAAAAAATATGAATTCAAATCACTTTTATTCCGCGATCTTGTTTTAAAATTCCGAAAAGTTCCGCTGGGGCTGGGGCCCCCCTGCGGCGGTGTGCATGCCGGGAGCTGCAGCGGCTTTCTAGCTTCTTACAGCCAATGAAATGAACTCTGGAGAATTAATTTATTATTTTTTGACGAAATAAAATTAAATTTGTGTCGGTTTCCGCGCAAGACGTGCAGGTTCGCGAGTTTGGCAGAGTTGAACGGGCGCGAACTCTTGCAATTCAGGTTTTCTGCTTCCACTCGACAACTCCAAAAAGACATTCTGCAGGGAAACTTGGACTCCTGGGCCCCCAGCTGCATTTAATTTTAAATATTTTGCATTTTGCTTCTTAAATTGATCTTTATTTCTCCAGCTTTTTCTTTTTTCCCGGAAATCTCGCCAAGTTTCCGATGCTCGGCGACAGCTTCGAAGGCGACGCCTTCTCCCGCTCGCCGTCGCCCCCCAAGAGGCCCCAGGCCACCTCGGGCGTGGGCGCTGTCTTGAAGGGAGTGGTGAAGAACATAAGGCCATTTGGCGCGTTTATTCTGGTATTTGCATCGAAAATGCCATTTAATGCCATTTAATGCCATTTTAATGCCACTTTACTGCCATTTTATGCCTTTTTCGCGCATTTATATCCACACTTCAAACACATCCCACCCAGCAGCGAAAAACGCAGAGACTTGCCCAACTTGCAGCTAAGAAAACGCAGTTTTGCATGCAGCTGGGCTAAAGGTAGCAACAGAAGCAGCAGCAGCAGCAGCAACTGCAGCAGCAGCAGCAGCTGCTCCTGCTGCAAGGAAAGATGCTGGTCTCTGCACTTTTGCTGCAGCTGCAATTTTCTTCTTTTGCTGCTTCTGCTGCGCAAGTGTTGGGACCTGGCATTTACTGAAATATGCTCGTTTCTTTTTTTGTTTCATTTTTTATCTTCACGAAATTCTTTTTCTGTTTTCAAAACGAGCTTAATTTATTCAATTCTTTTGCTTGCCTTTTCTTTTTCTGTTGAAAAAAGCTCCCTTAATTGCAACTCTTCTTTAATTTCTGTTTCTGAAGTCTTTTTAATTATCTTGTTTTATTTTATTTTATTTTTATTTCTTTTGTTTTCTTTTTTTCAGACCTCCCAGTACGCAAGAGAATGTCTTCTCCACATTTCAAACATCTCCAGACAGCGTGTTGAAAATGTGGAAGACGCGCTTAAAATGGGCCAGGAGGTGTGGGTGAAGGTGAGACGTTAAATTTTTGCAAATTTACTCAAATCAATTCTTTTATTTCTTCTTTTATTTATTTATTATTCATTTATTTTTTTTACAGTTTTCGTCTTTTCATCTTTCTGAATTCGCGCACGGCTGTTCACGTTTCGGCTTGCCGGCTGGCACACAGCGTTGCATTTCCCATTTCAGAAAAGTTGATTCAATTTAAAAGCAATTTAATTTAATCAATTCCATTTATAAAAGCAAATAAAAATCTATTTGAAACATAATTTATTTCTTTTCACTTATTTGCATTTAACCTTGGGCGCATTTCGACGATCGTGCATGTCAGTGGCTGCGAAGGTTGAGGTGTACGTACACCCCAGCAGGTGGGAGGCGCGGCGGGCCGTCACTTCTTTTCTTTTTAGGTTTTGAAAGAAGAGCCGGACGGCCGCGTTTCTGTCTCGATGAAAGATGTGAATCAAGAAGACGGGAGCGAAATAACTTCTTTATTTGATTCTTTCAACAACAGAGGAGTTGGCGGAGGAGTCAAAATCCCGGAGTTGAATTCCATTCATCGGGGAACAGTCAAGAGAATCCAGGCCTTTGGAGCTTTTGTTGCTGTGAGGCTTTTTCCTTTTTTCTCTTCTTTTGCTTTTTGCTTCAACTCTCTTATTTTGCTGCTGGAGCAGCTGCGTCCCTGCTGCTGCTGCTGCTGCTGCTGTGGTTGGGCGTTGGGGCTTTGCACGAAGAGTGGAAGCAGAGTTGAATTGGTTCTGTTTCTGCCTTAGCTCGACGGATTCGACCGAGACGGCCTGCTGCACATCTCCTGCATTTCAAAAGACAAAATAGATAAAGTGGATGATGTGCTTTCTGTGGGCGACAAAGTTTGGGTGAAGGTGAGGGTCGCGCGGGCGCTGGGGTGTACGAACACCTCAGCGCCGTGCAGCTTTCCATTTTCGTGGAGGTGCTGGAGGGGGAAGGCGGGGAATATTTCGCCGGTTTTAATTTAATGCGAAATGTTGCAAAATGTCAAATTAAAGTGCGTTTTGGTTTTTGTTCTTCTTTTTAAAGACTTTGTTTCCTCTTTTTCTGCTCATGCGCTCGCTGATTGGGCCGCGGACGAAAATCTTTTTCTCTTTTTCTTGTTTTCTGGCCGCATAATAATTAAATTAAACTCATTAATGTGCACATTTCATCTTTTTTGTTTGATTAAACTCTTTAATTCCACTTATTTTGCTTCATATGCACAAAACTTATTCAGCTTTGAATCAGCGCTGACGCACTCAAACTTGCAGCGACGCATTTGTGCCTTCGGCGATCTTCTTCGAACTAATTCAAAATTTCAAATTCTCCTTTTTGAACAAATTCGAATTTTCAAATTCTCTTTTTTCTTTGAGTAAATTCGATATTAAAAATTATCTCCCTTTTGCACAAATTCATCTTTTTGAGTGATCTCATTTTTGCACAAATTCATCTTTTTGAGTGATCTCATTTTTGCACAAATTCATCTTTTTGAATCCTGTTTTCCTCGAGCAAGTGCACGGTTGAAAGCCGTTTCCTTCGCGCGGCACTGGCCTCCAAAAGGGCGTTAAGAGTGTGGGAAGGGCAGCGCGGAAGTCTCCAAAAGGGTGTTTAGGGTTTGCAAAGGGAGCCGTTCGAAGTGTCTTCAGGTTTGCAAAGTCGACGAAGACGGAAAGTACGGCCTCGACATGCGGGACATCAGCCAGCAAGACGGCACCGATAAAGACCCCCGAAATTTGCACAGAGTCCGAAATGGCCGCGGGGGCCCTTTGCGGCCAGAGGCCATCGTTTTGGAGGCGGTGGTCAACGCCACCTGCGCCCGCTGCGGCGGGTAAACCCTAAACCCTAAACCCTAAACCCCAAACCCTGAGCCCTGGGTGTGCACGCGCGCGAGTGCGCGCGAGGTCCGCTGCGCCGGGCAGCTGCTGCGGGCGAGACGCGGATGCGGGAACGCTTTTCAGGGCCTCAAACAACGATTTAGGGTTTCGGATTTAGGGTTTTGAGCCGGCGACTTCTGTCGAAGGTTACTCTGAATTGGTGTTTCCTTGTTTTGCATTATTTTTGTGAAATGCTTTTTTACCTTTGAATTCTCAAAATCCCATTTCCCCGCATATAGTGCTCTTTCTTTTGGGGTGTATGTACACAGGAAGGGCCACATGGCGCACGAGTGCTACAACACATCAGGTTTGCAAAAGTCATTTATTTAATTCTTCTTTGCAGCAAACAACACTACAATAAAATACACATCTTTTGACTTTTGATAAACACTTTAAACAACAATACAATAAAGTAAACATCTTTTGGCTTTTGATAAACACTTTAAACTTCAAAAGTTGTTCAAAATCGCGAAATAAATAAAATCGAATTTCGGATTCGGGAAGCGTCTTCAGTGTACGTACACCTGGATACAGCTTCGCGTTATTTCCGGAAATGATTTAAAGTGAATTCGTTGAATCGACTTAAAAGTGAATTCGCTGAATTGATTTAAAAATGAATTCATTTGATTTATTTGCAAAAGTATTTCAAAGATAAATAAATGATTTCTTTCCCTCATTTGGATCTGCGAAAAGGGTTTCTGCGGTGTCACTACAGCTGTTGGTGAAGGGCCACCGGCGCAGTGATGCAAAATTGTTTTTTTTAATTTCCTTTTAATTATTTTAATTAATTTAACTAATTATTTTAATTATTTTAATTAATTAAATTAATCATTTTAATTATTTTAAGTATTTGAATTATATTTTATTCAGGAAAGAAATATGAAATGATTGAAGAAGAAGCCGGCAGCGCCTTGGCGGCCCTTTGCGCCCACACGGCGGCCCCTCGGGAAGCAGCAGCAAATTCAGGTCATGCAGCAGCAGCAGCAGCAGCAGCAGCAGCAACAGGGGCCAACATGACACCTCTGGGGAAGCAACTGCCGCCTTTGAATCCTCTTGACCCTTTGTATCGGAAGGCGGGAAGCAAAGAGCAGCAGCAGCAGCAGCAGCAGCAGCGGCAGCACTCCAAGAAGAAACGGAAGAGACGCAGCAGCAGCAGCAGCAGCAGCAGCGACGAGGAAGCGCGCAAAAAGAAGAAAAAGAAAAAACACAAAGAAAAGAAAAAACACAAGAAGCATTGAAGTGAGCTGTCTGTACACTGGGAGTCCTTTTTTAACTTTCTTTAATTCTTCTCTTTTTTATTTTCTTTTTTCTTCTTTTGAATTTTCTTTTTTCTTTTCAAATTAAAATTAAAACTATTTTTCTTTTCTTCCCGCTCTAAACGCCTCTGCCATTAAAGGCAACAAAAGATGCATTTGAAATAAAACTAAAATGCAATTCAAATACAACTAAAATGCAATTAAAATCCAATTACAAATGCAATTAAAATAGAATTGGAGTGCAATTAAAAGCAACAATTAAAATGCAACTTAAATACAACTAAAATGCAACTAAAATGCAATTATAAAGTGCAATTAAATGCAACTAAAACAAAATATTGGATGAAGAATTATAATTGCAATTTGAAAAAAGAATTCAAAACTCTTTTTTTCATTTCTTTCTGCGGACGCCCCAAAGGCTGCAGACGCGCGCACTCCTGCAGCAGCAAATTCGAAAATGAAATTCTTTTTTCAACTTTTAAAATTAATTTAATTAATTGGTTATGTTACTTAATTAATTCGTTCTATTTATTTATTTTTTTTAATTTTATTTTATTTATTTATTTATTTAACTTATCGATTTGTTTCGTTTTGCTGTCAGGGCCCTCACCTGCTGCAGCGCGGACAGCCGAAAGCGAAGAGTGTTTACTTCTTCCCAGTTGGGGCTTTTTGGTTTTTCTTTTTTCTGAAATAAATAAATAAATAGAAAATAAAAAATAAATAATAAATAAATAGTAAATAAATAATAAATAAACAAATAAATAATAAATAAATAACAAATAAATAATAAATAATAAATAAATAACAAATAAATAAATAAATAACAAATAAATAGAATTAAAGAAATAAAATCCATTTGATTGAAGTGCAACTACTGCTTTGCTGCTTTGGGAGAGAACGGGAATTGCTGCTGCCCGCGAAGCACTCACCTTGCTGCAGGCTTTGTTAGGGTTTAGGGTTTAGGGTTTAGAGGTTAAGAATTAGGGTTTAGAGGTTGTTTAGGGTTAAGGGTTTAGAGGGTAGAGTTTAAGGTTTAGAGATTAGGGTTTAGGGTTTAGTGGTTAGAGTTTAGGGTTTAGAGGTCAGGGTTTAGAATTTAGGGTTTAGAGGTTAGGGTTTAGGGTTTAGAGTTTAGAGGTTAGGGTTTAGAGTTTAGAGGTTAGGGTTTAGAGGTTAGGGTTTAGGGTTTAGAGGCTCACGGCTTCTTCCTCATGTGCTGCTGCTTTCTCGCGCAGCTGTTGCAGTCTGTGAAAAGAAGATTTAAATAAATGTCTTCTACAACGCAAATAAAATAAAATAAATAAAAACAAATAAATAGAATAAATAAAGATAAACGAGATAAAAATAAATAAAACAAATAAATAAGAATGAATAAATGGATGGAAATAAATGAGAAAAAAATGAAATGAGGACAAATAAACAAAACTATAAAACCTTAAAACAAAATTAAATAATAAGATAGAATAAATAAAATAAATAAATAAAAATAAAAAAAATGAAGTTACCGCATGCGCCTTTTTTTGTTTTCTTGCTGCAGCTTTTCCAGTTTCCTTTCGTGTCTTTCTTTTTCTTGACTTCATCAAAAAGGAATTTAAATAAATAAATAAATAAACTAATTAATTAATTAATTATTAATTAATTAATTATTAATTAATTAATTATTAATTAATAATTAATTAAATATAATTAACTAATTCAAATAAAAAAGGACGAACTCTTGTTCCTGGATTTCTTGTTTTGCATTTTCGATTTCTCTCCGAAGAGCCTCGAGGGCGAATTTTCGTTTTTTCTGAAGGTGGAATTTATTTATTCCACTAACGTTCATTAGTTCAACAAATAACATTATTACTAAAAGAAGTACAAAAGAACAGCAGCAACAGCAGCAGCAACAAATGCATCAGCAGCAGCAGCAGCGCACAGTTTGGGTGTCTGCTTCGAATTCGAGTTCTCGGATATCTTGCTGCAGTTTGTCCTTCATCTCTTTCCAGGCGTTGAGTTCTGAAGGAGGATTGGGAGGATTTAAAATTTGAACGAGTTGTAACTTTCTGAATTCTTGAATTGCTGAAAAGAAAAGCGAAACTTGCCTGTTGCCAGCTGCTGCAGCTGCTGCTGCTGCTGCTGCTGCGTGTCTGCGAGGGCGCGTTTTTCGTTGTGCAAAACGGAGTTCAAAAGTGCGGAGTCCGTTGAAGTATTTTGCGCGGCCTCTGCCTTCGCGAGCAGCTGGGCGTAGAGCGCGCCTTCTGGTTCGACAATTGGGGATTTGGGGGAAAATAGGCGAAAAGAACGCGTTTGAATTGCAATTAGAATTATATTTTGGACTATATTTCGCAAGTTTTTCTCGAAATGGGACTGGTTTGCGGGGCCTCCGCACCGGATTCAACTTGCGCGGCTTGGGCGCGGAGGTGCGCCGCGGCTGCGCGTTCTTGGGAAAGCAAGAGGCGCAAGCGGGCGCGATCTTTGGCAATTTTTTCGAACTTGTGGACGAATCGGGCGGAAGCGGCGAAGAAGTCGTGCATTTTCGGGATTCGGCGTGAAGTGCGCAAGCGGTTCGGCGTGGGATCGCGGCGCGGGTTGTTGAGCGCCGCGGTGTACGTACACCCGCGGGGCGCTGAAAACGAATTAGGAGGAAGACGCGTTGGTGTTGCGCGACGCGACGACGCGTCGCCGAAGTTGGGGACTAACGGCGCGGGTTCTGTGTTTTGTGTTTCTGCGTTTGCGTTTGCTTTGAAAGTTCACGAGTGGAACCGCAACGGGAGCGTTTGCGCACACACGCGCAGCGCAGCGCGCCCCGGAAGCCGCAGCTCTCCGAAGCCGCAGCTCTCCGAAGCGCGTCGCCGCAGCGCAGCACCGCGGAGAGATCGGAAGAGCGGTTCAGCAGGAA